GCATAAAGTGATCGGTCGGTACTCACTTACGCGCCTTGCCGCATTCGCGTCAGTGCCTTTCGGTATAAGCACAGTATACGTTTTCAGAAAGGAAGGTGGTAATGCTTTGAATTCATACGCCTCGCGAAAGACTTCCAGAAAAAAAGGGGCTACTAAATCTTTGAACTTTTGATAAAATTCGGCACTTATGCCGTCAGGTCCGGGCGTTTTATGCGCCGGCAAACCATCTATTGCGCGTTCTATTTCTCCGAGCGTAATTGGTTCCTCCAACCACTCTTTTTCATCATCTGTAAGCTGTGGTGTTCCTTGGAGTAAGCTGTCAATCTCATCCGTGTTAATCTGCTGCTGGCAGCCTCCAAATAGCTGTTTATAATATTCAAGAAAGGCATTCTCTATAAACGTTTTGTCACCACTTATAGTACCATTGTGACTAATCATCGTGATTTCCTTATCTTGCGCGTACTTTCTTTCTTCGGCCAGGGCACGTCGAGTGGGCTGCTCGCCCAACAGAAACTTATCTGCTCTAGCTCGCACGATCGCACCGCGATAACGCTCTTGGTGTAAGTTATCTAACTGGCTTCTCACTTTTTTTATTTCTGCCACGTTCGTGCACGGGTTTTTATCTTCTTTTTCAAAAAGTTCATGCCAATACTTCTGCAATTCTTTCTCCTTCTTTTTTGACACGTACTTTAAGTAGGAAGACCTTTCAATTGCCGTTTGTTTGACCTCTTCTTTAAAATATTCCCATTTTTCAAGGAAGGATGTTTCTTTTCCGGAGGCAATTTTCTTTAGCGTCTCTATTGCGCTCTCAACAAAAACAGCGTCGTCTAGCAACCGGTTGTTCATTTTCCACAAGCCCCAACTAAATTTGTTCTTAGGCTGCTTGTTGTTTCCCAGAGTCACAGTGACTAAGCAATGATCTGTGAAAAAAAGGGGCTTCACGACGTAGCCTGATACATTGGTGATTACTTCGGCCGACATGTAGATTCGATCTAGACGCGCGTTAGATGACCTTTGAAAATGAGTAAAACGGAGAGTGTCGCGATTGGCCCTCGAGCGCGCTACGTCTTCCAGATCGTGTTCTTGCAACATTTCGGTTAGTAATTCTACGCTGCTATCTCGGTACGACACGCCTGAACTTCGATCAGCCTGGCTGCATACGCAATTGAAGTCTCCCAAAAGAACCACTATTCTGTCGCACTGCATGTACGAGCTTAGAAACTGAGAGAACAATACTCTCTCGTTCGCTCTGTTGGGCGCATAGATGCACATGACTCGCCAGTCACGGTTAAATAAAGTGAAGTCGCACAAAACAAAGCGCCCCAGCTCATCAACGACGACATTCAAGTCTCGCAGTGGCACTGACTTTGCCAAAAACAAAAAACAGCCTGCCGACATCCCATTCGAGTGACTGACGCACACCTCGTAACGGCTCAAGAAAGGCCGCAGCGCTTGTTCTATTTCGTCGTCGGAGGCCATTTTTGTCTCCTGGAGCGCTAGAAAATCAATTTTCTCTTCAGCCAGTAGTCGCTGCAGCTGGTATTGTTTCTTCCGTGCGTTTAAGCCACGTACGTTTAAAGTCGCGAATCGTACGGACTCGTTAAATAAAAAACTGCTCGAGTCGTTGAGCATTGAAATTAAATCGAATAGAAAGGAACGCTGCCCAACTGAGCCTCATCCTGTATCCGGAGACTTAAAACACCGGGGTGATTGTGGAAACTCACAGCGAGTCTTCTTTGCGACGGTCTTCCGTCGAAAAACGCGGTTTCACTGCACGACTCTTTTTGGGTGCAGTCCCATGAGTAGCAGTCCCGCTGGCTGGTTCTGGTGCAACAGCCGGTCGCTTCCCGGTCAGACTTGAGTCCATGTCGACGTCTTTGCTGTCGTCCGCACCTCCGTTGCTGTCGTCGTGTTCAGGATGGCCTACCGTCGTTGCCGCACGTTCACGATACGCTTTCTGACCGTCGAGCTGCTCCTTCGTTCCCTCACCGGTCAAGACTTGCACCTGCACCGTCGCCTCAGGATCCTGTGATGGAGTCGCTGCGTCAGGGTCCCCGTCGTCGTTGGGTTTCGACACTCCGCTTGGTTCCGTCCGTGTCAGGGCGGCGGGCGGTGACCCTCCTACGGCTTCCTCGGCTTCAGCGTCGTCCATGACGTAGTCGGAATTGTCCTCCGACTTGCGGTCTCGGGCGATAGAAGCGTACGTCTTAACACAGTCGTCCGTCTCGTGGCCGTACCGGTGACAGTCTGTACAGCGCGGGACGCGGCAGTCTCGTCGGATGTGCCCCTTCCGCCTGCATCTAAGACACAGCGGGGCCCGTCCTGGTACGACAACAAGGACCTTGCATCCTTCCAGACGGATTTCATGGGGGAGGCTGTCGGTGGTGTAGCCTTCCTTGAGGGTCAGGCGTACAGACCGGGTGTTCGACTCGACAGCCTCAAAACCCTTCTCCCGGAAGAAGTCTCTGGTTATGTCAGACACCTTGCCATACCGCTCCATTTCTTTCTTTACTTGGCAGTTCGGTACGTCGTAAGGCACCCAATGCAGCTTGAGTTTGACCGCCGCGTTGGCGGGGTCCAGCACGAGGCAACGCCCCCCTTTCACGGTCAACTCTTTTGCATCCACTAACCTTTGCTTCGCTTGGAGCGTGTGCAGTCGGAGCATCCACACGTGATTCATTTGGTGCGGCCCCGCCGACGCCAGGTCTTTCAGCACCTCCAGCCGCCGCAGTTCGTCGCGAAAGTCTTGGATCCGGTATGGCCGGCCTTTCACATCGCAGTGAAGAATAACAGAGTTGGTGGCAACGTATCCAGTAGGCAGAGTGGGCAGGATGATCTTGTATTCCTCCGGGTTTCCAGAAACAGATGTACCACGGCCTGACACGGCCGTTTTTGCCGCTCCGACGGAGCACATGATAACACGTCCGTCGCGCTCGGCAGCCGGAAGTGGAATCCTGAGCTACTGGGGCATGTCGATACTGGGGGATCTCTTTCCTTAGTAACAATTCAGCCGATAAACTGTAAGTTGGAAAGTTTGCTGCCGATTTTTCTCTAGCAAAAGCACTCCAGGGTCGAAGTCGGGATGCACCACACATTGGCGACATTCTCACCTAGTAAAGAAATCGTACGGGTGCATATTCAACTCGAAGTAGACACGTCGCGCTTGACGTTTGCGCGAGCGATGTCTTCAGCCACAAGAAGGGAGTGACGGCTCGGAGACGTCTTCGTGCAAATCGGCTTGGTGGTCGGGTGTGTCGTACGGCACGAATACCAATTCTTTTGAACAGTCCCAAATTTCTCTTTTAAAGGCGGACAAAATTCGCCGGTACCGCGAACGACAGTTCTGAAATAGAGGTCCCACGCCCGTCGTCCGCTGCCATCGCCGTACCCGCGAGTCCCACGATACGCGAAACAACGCACGCACAGAATGCTTCCGGTTGTCTGTGGAACTTTTTTTTCAATCAACGTATTTGCAGGTTTTTAGAAGCCACAAAAAATGGGTTTCATATTTTTTTCTATTTTTAATACTGAGTGTGTCCCTTCAGTGACCCACGACTTTGATTAAATTTGGTGGTCGCATCGATACCTTAGAAAACGGCCCGTGACCGCGGAAAAGAGAGTGAGCGAGACTCGAACCGGCCAGTTCTTGATCGGCGGTTTTCGGGCGGAAAGAAACCGAATTTCGAGCCGCAAATTCTGTTCTGGGTAGTTGAGCTCTCATATGTCACGTACAACTAAAAACCTCGGCGAGCATAGATACCCTGTCAGTGTCCCTTTAAGGATGCCAAGAGGAGAGGGCGATTTCTAGAGGACAATTTCGTGAACGATATAGCTGTAACGATGAGGTGCCGTTGGAAATGTAACTTCCGCGATGAAATCATGAAGAGAGAAAAGAAAAAGTACTCGTGTGACGGTCTTTTGTTACCGTAATGCGGAACCGGAAACGGATAAGTGCCAGCCAAATACCACACTCTTGTGTTAAAAGGTAGAGGAGCGTTGCGTGGACAGGGAGACTGGTTTCTTATCGTTGTGCCGTTAACATTGGATTTTTTAACGCAAAAATGTGCTTAGCGTTACGTATAACACGTGTCACACAAAACTGTAAAACGCAAAAATTATCGGGAAAATCTTAATTCTTGTTTAATTATATGACAGTTTAATTTTCCCAAATGTTTAAAGCCAAAAAAAAAAAAAAAAAGCCCTAAGGCTCCGCAAGTCTACGCAGCTTTAGGGAAACTACATTCTTATAGAAAAGAATGTTAACACGCTTGATGTAAAAATGGGACAGGGCAAGCAGAGCCACGTACAAACAAATCCGCTGAAACAAAACGCAGCTTCGGTTGGGCTTGAAAACTGCGACCACATCTGTAGGTTTCTCTTTCTTTCTTCCTTAGCGGGTTTAAACTCATTCACTTGTAAATATTTATACAACAGAGAAAGTCGTTTCCACAGACATAGTTTCGCACTCAGTTTCCACTTTGCTTTGTTTAAGCTATCTGTTATTTTCTATTTGATGAAGATTTTGTTATTTCTTTTTCACCCTTCTTTAATTTCTTTTTTCACTATCGAAACGCATCTTCCGGTTTTTAGAAGTATTCATTCTTCTCCTAGAATATGCAAGAAAATGTCAAAGAGAAGAGCAGGCAGAAAGAGAGGTTGACGCGGTGAAGTTTACCCGGTTGGCTACACTGTTTTAGTGGAGGAGGATGGGCCAATGACCACCCTAAACAGTGCGATAAAACAACGTGTAATAAATTGTCCACGGCGTATAAATGTTCGTACATTGTCTTTTTGCAGTTTTTCTTGCTTATCGGTATTATCGGTTATCGGCACATCAGTAACTGAGGAAAACTACAGGATAGATAGTGCTCTTTATAGAAGTGCTGGCAGGGAAAGAGCAAGCAAAGAACTTTTGCAAGCACTTCACTTAGACTTCAGATAAGATAACGCCCTTCAGGCGAGTAGAAAGATAGTAACGTGCGTATTCTTTTCTGTTTCAGTCCGCTGCCGCATCCGCCAGGAGGAGGCCATGGACGCCGAGTACATGCCAAGTGTTTGGGGTGTCCGCCTCCGCGGCGATGAACTCATCTTAGACTACTGCCAAAAAGCCATGGATAACAGCACCATCACCCGTCAAGAACTCCCGTGCGAACTAGGCCTAAGGTACGGCCCGCATCCCCGCGAAACGATGGATGTGTACGGCTACGGCCGAGTCCCCGAAAACGCCCCCATTCTCGTCTTCTTCCACGGCGGCTACTGGATCGAAGGGGACAAGGACATGCACGCCTTCGTCGCCAAACCTTTCGTCGAATCCGGCTTGGCCGTCGTGGTCGCTGGATATCCGCTCGCTCCTGAAAGTACCTTAGACCAGATCGTGGAATCTGCGAGACTCTGCATGACCTGTGTCATCAAGATGTCAAAGCAGAAGAACTCGGCCGGAATCATCATCAGCGGCCATTCGGCGGGAGCGCACCTGGCCGCCATGGTACTATCTTCCCAGTCTTGGACATCGAGATCTGAGAACCTCGCGTGCATCAAGGGTGCCGTGCTGTTTTCTAGCGTCCTGGACGTAAAGCCGCTACTCAGCACATCGGTCGCCAAGGATGCCGCCATCACGGTGGACCAAGCGGAGATCAATAGTCCTCTTGAAGTCGTGAACCTCTTTCCTCGGGACGTTTTCGTGCAACTTGTCCTTGCCGAGCATGACCCGCCGCCGTTCCACCGACAGACTAAACGGTACATGGAGGCTTTACGGGATCGCGGTATAAAGTGCGAGTTGGTGGTCTACAATGACGAGGACCATTTTTCTTTTTTTCCGAGGCTCATGGATAAAGAAGACGAGGTGACTGGCCAGATAATCAAGAATGTTCTTAGAGAAACTGGGACGGCTTGACCCTCTAGATTTGCTCCCGTTAAAAGCCCTAAATATATATGCATATCCGTCTAGAGGTGTAATGAAGCGAAGCCGCTAAACTGACCTTCGTGCTGTAATCGCTTCGAATGCTGAAAGCTTTTTAATACCTTCTAATCTCCAGCGTGTTTGCGTTTTTGTCGGTAGATAAATATTAAAAAAGAAAGAAACTCTTGGGGAGACTCGGAAACGCAGAATTTTTCTAACCTTCGATCTACACCTCGTTATGAAAATAGTAGATAAATGTTTTATTTTAATTTAATATTTCGAACATTTTGTTTTCGCTCATTGATCCTTTTAATAAAAAAAAAATTACACCATCTTCCCGAGGGGAACCATGGGGTGACGCGGAGCATCGCGGATCGTTATTAACGGTGTTATTAACGATGTTAGTAGCGTTGTTGAACTTCACGGTCCCGAACCTCAGGTTCTGCTGCTCGACGTTCACGAACCAACGCGGCTTCCCGTTCTCGAAGATCGAGTTCCGCCGCTCGCTTCGTACGTTTACGTTGAACTTCACGGCCCCGAACCTCAGGTTCTGCTGCTCGACGTTCTCGAACCGCCGCTGCTTCACGTTGTCGTAGTTCAGCATCCGCCGCTCGACGTTGACGAATGGACGCCGCTTCTCGTTGCCGTAGTTCAGGGTCTGCCGCTCGCTTCAAGCGTTTGCGCTCAGCGTCGCGTGCCCTTCGCTGCGCAGCTTTGTCTTCAGTGGACGTAGCGTTGCTGTTAGTTTGTGGGGTGGTGCTGACGCTTGCTTGCGCCAACCCACTAACTGACGGGACTGTTGCTTCCATCACACTTCACCGGAAGAACGGAGTGAAGTGGAGTCAACGGCGGGTGAACTGAACGCGCGCAGCGCGCTACCGCTGCTTATATTCACGCTTGAAGGAGAGGAGACTAGAGCAGGAGAGTTGCGCATGCGCGCGCGGTGTGAGTAGAAGCGAACGCACGCGAAGTGCACGCAGCTGGTAGAGATAGAGAGCGGAGAGAGTAACGCGCAGCTGTTGGAGAGAGTTAAGGAGGAGAGTTGCGCATGCGTAGTGTGAGTGCGGACTACGACGCCGCGGGACATAGACCCGAGCAAGAGATGCTCCGCATCTAATATGTGCAAGACACAAAGTCACTACTCCCTTGGACATCAGTATTCAAATTTGTGTGCAGGACAGCCGCAGTGCCGATCACTTGCATTGGAGGAGATCGTTCAGAGAAGGACATATTGCCCAGAAATCGGCTCCCCACGTTGTGGTTGGGCATTCACCGTAATATGCCGCACAATAGTGACCCAGCACACACAGGAATGTTTGATTAAAATCAATGGCCTTGTCAATGGAAGGAGTCCTTTGATAGATCCCTCTGATTGGAGCATCCACATGCTCTATGCGAAGGAGGCGCGTGGGTGGTGATGATGAATCTCCATTTTACGGCGCAGAAGCAACACCGAGGTTGCTGTGCCAAAAATAAAAATTAGAGAAGGGCTTATCAGAAAAAAATACAAATTGACATGACGTGAAATACATAGCCGGCATGGATAACTACTTTTGGCAAAAATATTATTAACACTTTAGACCTGTATCTTCATGCATAAAGGGTAGGTTAAATATATGATATTTGAAACATTCGTAAAAACAATTTCAAGATTTTTTTTTTATTAAAGGATTTGCACGGCCATAAAAGATGTAAGATAGTAAAGAAACACAACCGTAATTCTCACAAAGTGAAAATTGTGCACGAGGATACTATTTATTTATATATTTATTTATTAAGGATATCCAGCAATGCCCAATCGGCATTATTGTGGAAGTGTATCAAAAGGCATGATTATTTTGTACCAAGTACATTCTGCACACGCACATAAATAAATGATCATGAATAAGCTACGGTCAGGGGAAGACAAACAATGTGTTATCCCATGACACAGGGCACAGGAAAATAATGAAATCTGTTTAATAAACGTTACAAAACGACAGGTCGTTCAAAGGCAATGAAACAACATTACAGGGTAGTTGACTTTATTATCGAGCTGTTCGCAGGAAAACAAGTACCGTATATACGCGTGTAATGGCCGCAGGTATTCTTTTATGATTTCGGGCGAGAACTAGGGGTACGGCCATTACACGGAGAAAATTTTGGAAAGTAAACGCCTGGATTTACTTTTGAACATAAATGGGATGGCCCTGGCGACGTGACTATTTGAAGAGTCGAGCATGCAAAAATGTTTCAAATTTATGCCATTCTGGATTGCCGGGAATTCTTCAAATAAGTTTCACTAATGTCCCGATAATAACCGGTCCTTAATATTTTATACATAAAATATAAAGATACAAATATACTGAACACCATATAACCCAAAATCACAATTTTGAAAATTATTCCCCTTTTCCTCCTCCCCTTAAAGGGGCCCTGCAAGCACTTTTTTACTGCTTCTTAATTTACACCAAACCTGAGCGCACTGACCGTAGTAACGTAATGTAACTTTTCTTTTCTCGAATTTCGCTTTATTTTAAAAGTTATAGGCAAATTAAGATTACAAAAACAAGCAAAAAATAACCTCCCTCATGACGTCCTTGGTTGCTTGAGTGGCCGTGAACTAGAGGAGGGATAGTCAGCTCAGCGAGCGCTCACGGCTGCCGCACTGCGTGTCGACGGCGCGAGTGGGCGCCACTAAAGCGTGTTGTCGATAGGTTGTATACAGCGGGCAGCCAGAGCGGCTCTCATTTCATTTGCTGCGCGATTAAACACTAATTCGGCATGACACTTCATTGGCCACAAACGACAGCAAACACGGGGTAAAGACCAGTTCAGAATGGGAGCCACTTCACGCTGCCGTACCGCGAAATGGCCAAAACGCAAGACAAAGCTACTCGCTGAAGGCCTTCGGAACGCTCGGAGCCGGTCGGATCCTCCAGTCCGTAAACGACCGCAGCGCCGCCGCGTACATCCGGGATCTTTCCGTGTCGGCGCCTGATCCCACTACTCTTTTCTAGTATGCGCCGCCTTTTCCATCGCTTGGTGGCGGGTATGTCGACGGGCCATTTCTTGTTTCCGTACTTTATAAACTGCATTTGTTTCTTTTCTGATCTAAAATACTGAACAAAAACTACTTTTATAGATAATTGAAACGGTTCGCGCCACTTATGTTTTGTATTTCGACTAAAAAGAAGCTTCTAGCGGCTCTGACCAGTAGTAAGCCCAGGACCAAAGACGTCACATTTCGCGCGCTTTCGGTACCGCGGGTCGCCCCCGTCGGTGGAGGAGGTTTCCGCGTCGCCCGGTGAAAATATGATGCACTGATATTTAGTTACTCTCTCCGTGCCCGCTGGCTTGCCCGAACCCCAAGAGACATGGAAACCGCAAAAAAGGTAGACGCTTAAATATGATTGCAGGGCCCCTTTAAAGGGGCCCTGCAATCATATTTAAGCGTCTAACGTTTTTTGCGGTTTCCACGTCTCTTGGGGTTCGGGCAAGCTATCGGGCATGGAGAGAGTAACTAAATATCAGTGCGTCATATTTTAGCCGAACGACGCGGAAACCTCCTCCACCTATGAGGGCGACCCGCGGTGCCGAAAGCGTGCGATATGTGACGACATCTTGATGTTTTGGTGTGGCGCGAACCGTTTCTGGTATTTATCAAAAAAGTGTTTGTTCAGTATTTTAGATAAAAAAAAAAGAAACAAAAGCAGTTTATAAAGTACGGAAACAAGAAATGACTCGTCGACATACCCGCCACCAAGCGGTGGAAAAGGTGGCGCATACTAGAAAGGGGTGGTGGGATCAGGCATCGAAGAGCGGCGAGCGTTGAAGAGTCCCGGATCTACACGGCAGCGCTGCGGTCATATGGGCTCGAGGATCCGACCACTTCCGAGCGTCCGAAGGCCTTCGGCGAGTAGGTTGGGCTTGCAGTTTGGCCGTTTGGCGGTATGGCAGCGCAAAGTGGCTCCCGTCCTGAACTGATCTTTACCCCGTGTTTGCTGTCGTTTGTGGCTAATGAAGTGTCATGCCAAATGAGTGTTTAATCGCGCAGCAAATGCAGTGCGAGCCGCCCTGGCCGCCCGCTTCATCCAGCCAATCTAGCACACGCTTTAGTGTCGCCCTCTCGAGCCGTCGACACAGAGTGCGGCAGCCATGAGCGCTCGCTGAGCTCACTACCCCACCTCTAGTTCACGGCCACTCGAGCAAGGACGAAGGACGTAATGAAGGGGGTCATTTTTGCTTGTTTTTGTAATTTTAATTTGCCTACAACTTTACAACTAAAGCGAAATTAGAGAAAACAAAAGTTTAATTAAGTTACTACGTTCAGTGCGCTCAGGTACGGTGCAAACTAAAAACCAGTCAAAAAGTCGCTGCAGGCTCCTTTAACAAAACAAAAAAAAAGCCCAGATACTACAATTCGTGTACTAACGCTAGTAATTGAGTGCTTGTGCATGGTATAAACTCAAAGGAGTAACCAAAGTGCAAGATAAAAAAAAGAGTGGAGTAAGAACAAAGCAGTGAACTTCGGAAACCTCGCGTGGTGTACGTCCAATGTCGATGGATAAAACGCGAGCGCACTCAGGCGAGACATCAAAACTTCGTGATAATGGCTCTTATGGCGAGAACTCTTCCATGCCTCAGAAATAGGTTCAAAAGTGGCTTGTTTGCAGTGCTCTCGGATGGTATTTTTAATGAGAAAGCTTTGGTGGCTGTTTCCGAGTTATTTGTGAAGAGTGATGAAAATGTTGCGGTTTTAAAACGGGATGTGTGTATGATTTTGGCAGAGGAGGAGATCGCGGCTACGCTAAGCAGAGGGGCGCAGTAATGATTCTTCCTTCCAGGAGCGATGGTGGTTTTCCCGACACTCCGTCGTCTCCCTCGGGTTTTGATGGGGCCGGGTGACCGTGGAGTGTCGTGCGGTGGTGCGGGGATCTGCCATTCTCGCCAGTCAGGAGCCGGAGAACTCGATGGAGGTTTTTCGTTGAATATATTTACAATGAAGAACGAATATGGTACAAGGCTGTCATGCTGCCGCTCGCGGCAGCCCGACGTCGACAAAAGCGTCTCAGCCCCAAATCCGTTGCCGCGCACGGCAACTTCGCCCCGCAGGACAAAGTACGCGGAGCCCTCGGGACCGCGGGAGATAACCACCTGCTCCGCGCACGGGCTCGTTTTAACTCAATCTCTCCCCAAAAAAAAGGCGCGCAGACATTCCGAAGAGAGGCCAGATCTCCCTCTCTCCCCGGAGTCGCCGACATGGCCCTGACAAGGTCGCTTCCCCACGCCGGCAAGAGCGACCCCCGGCCCCCCCCCCCCCCCCCCCCCCCCCCCGCTCCCACCCATACCTCG